GGGGCGAAGATCGTGGAAGAGAAGTGTCAATCGGGGGTCGGTGCCAGACGTATGATAACGTAAGAGAAAGGACAGTCAAGGAGGAACTAAGCCAGAGGTGGAGTGAGGAGAGAGACAGAGAGGACGTAACCAACGCAGCTGAAAAGCACCTTGTTGTATAGAAGGATCTAATACTCCAAGGCCGCCAGAACGAAGAGGGAGACAAAGAGTGGACAGCTTAATGGGAGGAAACATTCGGTGCTGCAAGAACTGACCCATGGCCGACTTCACTTTATCGAGAAACGACACAGGAACAGAGATCACGCGTAGGACATGCCAGAGACGGGAGAGAATGAGAGTATTGAGAACGGTGGCACGCCCCCGGATCGATAAGGATCGAGTGAGGTGTATGGCGCAGGAAGATTGTATGGTTGTTAACAATGAGGAACAAAAGGCATCGCGTTGGGCAATCGAACTGACAAGAGGGAAGCCAAGGTAGCGGAGGGAGTCAGGACAAGGACAGTCGTGCCAGGATGTTATTTGGTGGGCCTGTAGGAACGTGATCCAGTGAGGAAGTGGTTGTCCCGAAAGCGATATGGCCTCCGTCTTGGCCATGTTGATCTTGGCATTGGAGGCCCGAGAGTAAGTGGCAAGATGTGTGTGGAGGCGTGTGAAACATTCGGGTGTGGAGAGGAAAACAATGACATCGTCCGCATATGCAAGACATTTGACTGGAGGGGGGGCTGGAAGGATTGGCGAGATAGGTGGGAGAAACCCAGAAAATTCAGGGTCATGTTGGAGGCGGCGTAGAAGAGGCTCAAAGGCGAGATTGAAGAGAACGGGGGACAGAGGATCGCCCTGTCGGAGACCGCGGTGCTGAACAAGTTCTCGGGAGATATGACCGTTCACATTGACTCGTATTCGAGTAGAGAAGAATAGGTTGCAAATACAATCGACGAGAGAGGAAGGAAAACGGAAATGGCGCAGGACTTGTCGCAGGTACGAGGGGTGTACACGATCGTAAGCCTTTTCTTGATCCAAGAGCAAGCCAATACTGGTGGATTGAGTGAGCCGGGCCTGTTCCATAATGGTCTTGACGAGCATGCCATTGTCAGCAATGAACCTTCCCCTCACAAACCCGGTTTGATATTGAGACACAATTGAGCTGGCAGCAGGAATCATACGGGCATTGAGTAGTCGAGTAAAGACCTTTGCATCAGTGTTAATCAAGGCAATAGGTCGCCAGTTCTTCAAAGATGTAAGGTCTCCTTTCTTCGGTAGCAAGGAGAGACAAGTAGATTGCCAAGAGGCAGGAAAAACTCTAGTGGTGAGAGCGTCATTGTAAAGCTTTTCCAAGATATGAGCACACGCGGGATGGTCAAAAAGGAGACGAAGGATTTCATAGGGTATCCCGTCGGGACCGGGACTGCTGGCGGAAGGAGACCGCTGCGCACCTTCTCGTATGTCTACGATGGAAAAGGAGGAAGTGAGTTTGTTTACAAGAGCGTCAGAGAGAACAATATGAGTCGGAAGATTATGTAGAAGGTCGTCTACAGCGGTTTGCTCAATGTCATCGGGGGAATACAAATCTTTATAAAATGCAGCCGCGGAATCGGTCATGATAGAAGGCTGTGTCGAAAGGACGTTGGTGAAGGGGTGGCGTAGGCCAGAGATCGTCTTACGGACTTGTCGTGTTTCAATCGTACGTTTCAAGTAACCGGCAGAGGTCTCACCCTGTTCCCGCCAGTGTTTTCCAGCGCGCAATGCCTGTGTTTCTACCTTTTCGTGTTGTATGTCCTGAATCTGTCGTTCCACAAAAGGAAGCTGGAAGTTAATGGAGGGGTTGAGTCGGTACTTTTGTATCAGGTGCGCGCGCTTGCTCTGCAACTGGGCTTCTATCGTAGTGAGGTTGCGGCGAAGGCGACGGCAATAAGAGCGGATAAAATGGATGACATCGGTTTTGAGACTATCCCACTGTTCTTGAACAGATAGAGATGTTGGTAGAGAGTGGACGAGGGAATGAATGTGAGAGTCAAGCTGGAGGCAGAAATGCTGGTTGTAGGACAGACGTGGGTTGGCACGCCATAGGCCTTTCCCCAAGACAGTGCCTGAATCAAAGAGAAAAGATGCGGAAAGTAGGAAATGGTCTGACCATTGCGGATGAATATAATCCACGGAAGACGAAATGCGGTGGGAAAACATATCGGAAGAGGAGAATATATAGTCCAAGGTGGAGGACGTTGTGCCGCGATGGAAGGTAGGCATAGGGGTAGAATCAGGCATAGTGACACAGTCAAAGAGGTGGTCAGAGAGGAATTGGAGCCACGTATGAGGTGCAAGTCGGGGCCGAGGTGAACGAGTGTGATAGGAGTGATTAAAATCTCCCAGCAGGATGAAGCGTGAAGGATGAGTGGGCAATAATAAAGAGTTAGCAAGCAGGGCAGATAGGAATTTATACCGCTGTCCAACTGTAGCTGGGGCATATACCACACAGATCTGAAAAGGGGAAAAATTATTGTTGGCATGCTCAACTGTAGCAGATATACATCGGCCACAGACAGAGGTTAAAGGGTTGACAATAGAAATCATAGGAGTTAGGCACACTAAACCACAATGTTGGGACCAAACTGAGGAAGTAGTCCTAAACTGCATATTGAATGTGTTCTGTATATCCATAGAGGAAGCATGAGTTTCTTGCAGGGCGAGTATATCGACATGCTGAGAGCGTAGGTGGCGTATAAATAATGAGCGTAAGGTGGGGTTGGCCAATTTGGCCAGGCCTCGACAGTTTATCGTGGAGATTTTAATCATAAAGTAAGAGCTGGATTTGGAGGATCTTGTCCACCGTCATTTTCACCATCCATGGGATCATTTTCCATTTGAGCGAAATACTTGGCGACCTCATCGATGTCATCGTCGCTGTAGTATTCCTCATCGTCGCTTTTCTTCGTCTCTTCGTTACCAAGTTCGCCATCACTGGTCTTAACCAATTGGACGTTGTCATCCATGCCAGTACTAGCCGCTGCTTCTATCAGGAAGTCAGGATGGTTGGCGGGAAGAACACCCGGAATGGCACCCGGGGCCGCGCGTGGTCTAGAAAGGGATTCAGTAGCCAATGGAGGTAGGGGTATGTTCTGCGGGGCGTGCTGTGAGCCGTAGATTGTTTCAGAGGGTAGAAGACCATGATACATCTGAGCGGCTGGGGGTGCAGGGGCATGGGTTGGGGAGCGAGCAGTTTTGCGAGGGCGTTTTGATTCGGCTTCCTCGTTTCGTGGGCATTGATGGGCAAGGTGACCAACCTTACCACAGCGGAAGCAGGTGCGGGTTTCTTTGGGTCGCTTGGTGCAAGCTTCTTTCTCGTGACCCATCTCTTTACAGAAAGTACAATGAGTACCCATACGTGCCCAAGTGGCAAGGAAAGTTGTAGTTTCATTATACTTGATCTCATGTTCCAAGTGACGCATATGAAGATCAGGATTAGGTGGGCGTAGCATATGGATGGTGCCTGTGCCGTCGGGGTAGTTATATTTCAAATTCAAGGATATTTCCTGAACCTGTCCGTATATAGCAAGGCAGCGGCGAAGATTCTCGGCAAGTTCATCAAAATCCGCATATCCGTGAAGAGGAAGTCGAGACACACGTAAGCGCAAGAGCTTAAACGTCGAAGGAATGGCAGGAGAAGCGAAGACAGTACGTCCATTAAAAGGAAAGCCAACTTGGCATGCGCGCGAGCATGCTTCTTGGCCTACTAGATGGAATTCGAAGGAGGTGCGGGAAGTACGAGAGGCATATGTGAGGCCGCGGCCAACACCCAATAGGAAAGCGGTGTTAAGAGCCTCAAAGAACAAAGGACGGAGAGGGTTTCCCTCAGCAGGGACCTCGTAGAAAACAGAAAATGGAGAGGAGCCTTCTTTCCATATGCGTGGAGCGCCATTACCAGCGATGGAGTCGATGATGCGAGATGTACAAGAATTGTCTACAGACTTAACAGCCGCAGCTACGTAAGATGGAGACAATGGTGGTGAGCCAGTTGGTGTAGATGGAGTGTTGAGTGATGGCGTGGGTGAGCCAGGAGGTGGTGAGGGGTCCCTTGGTAGGGGTGGCGGAGACTTAGCGGGAAGAGCCATGCTATTCCACGAACACCTTCAATCTCAAGTAGAAACTGTAATTAAAAGACTCTCCGTGACTTTCATTTCAGCAATTCAAACCAAAAACAGGAAGTCGTGACTGGGAAATGAAGCTATGTAAAAATCTACTCACAAGAGCGCGTTATCCTTTCTCTCCCTCACAAACTACATAATATCAAATGTCATCCATCGAAGACAATGAATTGCCAAAGGCCAACGTAGCCAGAGTACTTAAGAATGCCGTAAGTAAGAGTGATAGCGAATCTACTGAGCATTCATCCTCCTTACCAGTGTCGCTTGGTATAAGCTTCCGGCTGGGACTGCACTTCAAAAAGACGCCAAATTAGCTGTGAGCAAGGCATCTACCGTATTCATCAACTATCTTAGCACAGTGTATGTTTAATTTAAATATATATATATTTATCTGTTATCCTTCAATTATTCTTAAACCTTTTGAATTACAGTGCCAATGACATTGCAAAGAGTGCCAATCACAAGACCATTTCTGCCGCCGATGTTTTCAAAGCTATGGAGATCCTTGAACTTGATCATTTAACACCTCAACTAAAAGAAGCATTTGTTGGTATGTACTAAACCTCCTTAAGTTTTTGTGATGTTTCTTAATGTTAATTATGTGTGAACATGACGGTAGCTTATCAGCAGTTGCAGTCTGACAAGAAATTGCGTAAAAAGGAAAAGAAGTTGGAGGAAGGGGAGAGCTCGGGAACTCGCGACGAAGTAATGGAAATAGATGGCCATGACTTTTCTGTAAAAGGTCAGAAACGTAACTTAGACGAAGACGAAGATGAAGAAAGCGTATTGGAAGGCCAAGAGCAAGCCAAGAAAGCTAAACATGGTGATGAGGAAGACGAAGAGGTTGAAGACGAAGTCGAAGAAGAAGAGGTTGAAGAGGAAGAGGAGATTGAAGAAGAAGAAGAGGAAGCGGAGGAGAGTGACGATAGAAAGAATGAGCAAAATGCACTCGATGATGATGCATTACTGGATATGGATGTATAATTCCTTGATTCGAACCACTCGCATCGCAAACTTAGTCCCTAATTGTCTCTACACACCAGCTTTGCTCTGTGCCTTCTTTTACCGACAATGATATTCTTTAATATAAGAAAAATAAAGTAATCAGACTATATTCATATTTTTTCGAGACGTACTTGTTGTGAATGAAAACATAAAGTGCGTATATTATGATATATTTTTATCGCTCTATTGAGTAATCAAACCGAAAATATTGGTCTCGTACAAGAAACCTTTGTATTATCCTCGATATTAAGGAATACATTTCGAATACCTGGATATACTCCTAATACACTATTTATAAAATAAATGCCTTGATAGACTATAAAAAGTTGTCCATAATTGAGCTTATTTAATAAGCAAGTATCATTGCTTTTCTCTTTTTTTAAAAAAAAAATCTTAATGTGTCTATTTATCTCAATTCTCTGTTAATATATGTATATATTATATAGAAATATTTTGTAGAGAGTATTTTTGGAGGCATCGAGGAAATAACAAGCTCAAGGTAATAATGAACATGTTATTTCCTGTTCACTTTTCCTTGTAATTTCTTTTACCCTTTTTTATTGTCTATACGGAAGCAAGGCTGTGAGAGTAAGAGGTTGCATAAGAAAATAATATCTTAAAAGAGACCAAAGACATATTTCACATACCTATTAAATATATTAAATAAATAAATAGTGAATGCACGAAAGAAAAAAGTTTATTTTACTTTATATGTATGCTTTATTCTTCCTTTAAAGAAAGCAATCTCAAAACATATATTCATACACGAAAACAGGTAATTGCTGCAGTTATATAATAAAAATTATAAAACCATCCAAAAATAATTTTGTAACTTTTTTGTATGAAAATATTTTTTGAGCAAAGATTTTATTGTAGTTAATGAATAATTAATGGAAATACAGTATTTGAAATTTATCAAATACACGGTACGGGAATAGAGACATCGTGGCATACAATGATTGGGTGTATATGCTCTACTTTGGTATATTCTTGGGGTGGTTTACCTCTTTGGTTTTCTAATCACTACTAGCAACGCCTCCGTTACCTAGTCCGACAGCTTTCTCAACTACCTCCCGCATCAAATCAATGAGTGTGCAACATGTTATAAGCAAATCGGCCTCCATGTGATCCGGACGATCCACCATCACTAAAGCCTGTCGGTCAATAGAAAGCTGACCAACTTGTAGCAAGTATCCCATAATACGACTTTTGAACGAAGCAATAACCCTCCACTCAGGCGTATCTTCTTTGCCGATAAATGATCCTAGCCCTCTGCTCTTTCTTGTCAGCAAAATCTCGCAAAGCATATCATGTGAAAGAATACTAGGGCGTCTCCAGCGTAGACAGTAAGAACTGAACTCAGTTTCGTACACAAAAAGTAAATGTGAGTTTGTCTTGTTGATAAGATCATGAGATATAAGTGTGTCAGGTCCATGGATGCTATCTTCTTCTGTGTGGTAGTCTCCATATTCTACTGTGATTTCCTTTTGGAACGCACGGCGTCTTGCTTCTGCTACCTTACACTCCTTCTCTGTTGGCTCACCATAACCCGAGTTATGCCCTGGAGCACGAGATAGTGTGTTTTGGAATCCCCATGAATATGAATGAGGTTGGACCTTACGGTAAGCTAACTTATTCGACCCAGCGAGGTAGATTTCATGTTCACTGGAATTTAGCAAACTTTGTTTTTTGATATCAAAAACAAGCATATCCTGTTTGGTTTTTCTCCTGAGTTTGTCGAGAAGCATTTGCTTTGTTCCAAGACTGGCAGTGCTACCCACACTATTAGTGCTTGTAGAAGGACTTCCTGGTTCTGGAAGACTCATGGTTGACATTGTTGACAATGAATACACAACATCTTCTGAAACAGTTGATTGCAGGCTAATGGAGGGCGCATGACTCAAGAGAGCGGATGTAATGTTTTGACTGTCATTCAAGCTTTCGGCAGATTCTTGACTTTCAGACGGGATGTCAACTGGAGTAATCTCAGAAAGACTGTGTACATCTGCAACCTTGGTGTCATCCTTGGTTTGGAAAATAGCGAGGTTGTCTACAGCAATTTCTGTACTGTAACGAGCAGGAGGTGGTAAGTTGACATCGTCATCGTCATAGGCATTTGGTTTGTCATAAATAGGGGAGTCAATGGCATCTGGCTTCTGATAATAGATTCTTTGCTCAGTTGTATCCAATGGTGTTGCCATGGCAAACTTGAAGTATAAGGGACAAAATAAAAAAAAATTAGGCTTTTCCAGTCATTCTTGTGCATTGTGATTTTTCTTTTGCGCACCGATTTTTTTTTTATTTGGGTATTGAGCTTTAAAGTTTGGGCAAATATCCGATAGTTTTACGTTTTGCAATTCATTTTCTTTCCCATTCAACCCACTTTGAAATTTCTATGTCCAAAATAATAAATATATAAAAAAAAAAGTCAAAATAAATATCAGATACTTTTTGTTTTATATTTTGTAACCATTCGGTTTATGAGTAGGTGCATTCAAGCAGAAGGGTGATAAATGAATTTTAGCGAGAAGCCGGAAGACAAGAGAAGCGGGTGAGTCGAGAACCAAACTTATTCATTACTGATAAAGTGTGCCTATGGGTAGAAAGTGAAGTTAAAATTAGGTCCCGTAATAAAAAGTTTAGACTTTTTTCATGCTTAAAATTGTTACAGTTTCCGCATTTTCCTTTAGGGCTTTATAACCATAAGCTTCATATAGAAAGTCATAAACCTCGATTCTTTTTACTTTGCACAAATGAAACCATAAATAATCTTTACTAAAGAGAAAAGAAGATAGTTACTGTATATACTATACTAAGCTGTTTCTTAGCAGAAGAAAATTGTTTCGAAATGTATAGAATATAAGCTAATATATCTTGTGTGACTTGTGATGCTTATGAAATGAGTAGAAGAGATGAAAATTATGTGCAAATCTCTTACTACTAATGTATTTTATTATATGAATGTTTTCTTTTTTTCTCAAGTTGGAGTCTATAGGTAACCTGTATTCTAAAAAGTGTATATGTATATGATTATGATTTCTATTATTAATTATCTCTGCCACTCTGTTGTTTTTCTTCCCATTGATAAGCTTGAAGAGCCATGTTACATTCTTTTAAAGTAAGTGGGACAGGCTATAGAAAAACACGAGAGCAAATGAGATAATTGTGTTTTATATAGTTATTTCACTTTCACTTACTTGTAATGGATCCATGACAGGTAAATATAATGTCTCGATACTCAAACTCCCGACTACCTTTAGAATGTCCTGGTCGGGTCCATTTTTTTTCTCGCGCTGTTTCTCTCGAGAAGAACGATCATACCAGGCATTAAAACAATCAAAGTTGGCTTCATAAGGCTTTTGATAGCATGCATGCAGCATGTGAACTAGTGCAAATCGTGTTTGACCAATTGCACCATCATACTGGCTAACATACCCTGACAGGGTTTCTTTCCGCTTGCGTGTAGAGGTAAATAATCGTGTGATGGGTGCTTTTGATCTGACGTGCTGGTCAGGTCTGACATGAAGCGATACGGTGATAATCATATCAGGATAAGTGTCAATGATACATTCATAGTCAAAATTGACATCCTGGCCCAGTGTTTCGTATCGAGACATGTACTCATATCTTCCGTCGCTCACCACACACCTTGCGTATGTTTGCTCCCGTGGTAAAGGAAGTAGGAGATTGTGGGCCCCATTAATGCGTACATAAAGCTTGCCGCGCTGTGTTTTCTGCTCGTTTAAGCTACGACTGCTTAAACTCATGCGCGGTCTGAGAGTGTGATGTTCAGGATCTCTCATTGAGTTACTTATTTCGGATTCTCCTCGAGGACCGTCAATTGACGGAGTACCTCCCCAAGATTTCTCATCTCCTGAGTAAGGACTTAATAGCTGCGGTCGTCTACTGTAGATAGATGTAGATCTCACAGCAATACTTCCGTAAGACGCGTCGTGACTTGATGTATTATCACTGTAGCTTGGAGACAATGCTAGCAACGGAGCAAGGGGCTGGATATTTAAGCTATCGACGAGCATAGACGTTGGGAGACTAACGGATGAGACTAGTGGATCGGTGTTTGCTCGATTGGGAATATGCCCTGGGATTGGAGACAAGCATTTGGTACTCGTAGACTCCTCTTTCTTTATTTCGTGGCGATCACTCGATAGAAATTGGTTATCTTTTGCTGGATTCTCCTGAACATCACACGATTCGCGAAGATCTTTTTCGTGATCGCTTTTTTCACTTGTGTTTTCTTCTAGGCCGCTGTCCTCGTGTTCGCTCTCCTCGTATTCGATGTCTTCAGGTTCAGAGACCTGAGGAAGTTCCTTGTCAATTTTGTTATCATTCTCAGACTCTGTACTATCATTATCATTCTGTAATGCATTCAATCCAGGTAGCTTGAAGTCTTGGTCCAGAGAAAATGTCCATGAAGGCATTGCCGCCGACCAATGCGCCTTTTGACTTCCACTCAATCTTCGACTAGAGAAACTATCGACTGATGTTGGGGAAGACATGACACTGTGGCTTTCATACTCTGCTTCTGTTGCTGCTGCTGCTGTTGCTGTGGTAGTTGTATTTGTATTTACTGATTTTAAAATTCCAGCTTCAATAGCAAGTTTGATTTCATCCGCCACGGAAATGATCTCGGAAGTATCTTCTGAACTACTTTCAGATGACACACTTGCTCGCTTTGTTTCTATGTGAATCTCTCTTGGGGTAAATTCGTTGTCAGCCTCAGATTTTACAGCAGTACTATGAGACATCTGGTCTATTTTTATATCTTCGTCCACTAATTCAACTGCTTTTCCTTTATCTTTCTTAGTGTGTTGTGTTTGCGCCTCTTGTTCTTCAACGTTAGTGTTTTTTTCTGTTGGAGTACCATAAATCTGGGGGATGTAAACCGACCGGGTCCGGTTGTCCGCATAGGTATGACTTGATGAAGGAGAAGGGATTGGGGAAGTCAATTGGCCAGGTAAGAGTGAGAGCCGTGTCCCGTCTGCGGGATCGGCTTGCCGAAATACACTCGAAGATACATAAGATTTATCCTTCAAAGCTGAAATAACCTTTGAATCACAGCGTTCGCTGGGATCCAACAATTCATCAGGAGCTTCGGAAGTTGCGTTTGACTGAAGAACAATGGTTGATGAACGTTGTAGTTGTTCTTTTCGCTTCACGAATGGATTGTTTTTCACTGCCGACCGCTTCGCAAGTGAGTCTACTTCCTTTTGTCTGCGAGCACGTTGTTTTTCCAATTCAGCTTCTTCGTCATTGAGCACCTTGAGTTTAGTCTCCTCCACTCTGCCCATCTTGAAGTAATGGCCGTCTTTCTTTTGCTGTTCTTTATTCTCAGCCTTTTTTTCAACAGTGCTAGATTCTGCTAATTGGCGAAGCTGTTTAAATCTATCAGGTGTACTGTAATTGGGTCTCAATCGTACGTCTTCACGTTTTTGTTTCTTTTCGTCTTCATCAAAGCCCAAAGGTAAGGGCCGTGTAGAAACAGGTCTAGGTCGGACTCTTTCGTACACGCCTGTTACATCCCTTGGTAAGCACCCAGAATCGTTCGGAATATCCATTGTAGCCCCCCTATCGAGCAATTGTTTCACAATCTGGTGGTGTCCCAGAAAACTTGCCAAATGTAATGTGGTGTTACTGCAACTGCCCCACGTTCGCCTATTCAGATCCTGGACGCGTGCTTCCTAAAATTCCAATTGATTGGATTTTTTCCCCTTCTTATTTTAGATTTTCGTATAGCCTACACATTGTGAAGTAGTGTATACAATATGCATACCTCGATGAAGAAGGCAAGAAGGCGAGAGGTCTGCTGGTTTTCAAAAGAGGATTCTTCCCCTTCAACTGGATGGATGTATTTCAGAATAGTGTATTGAAAAGCATTGATGGGTTCAAAGGATGGGCCAAGAATCTCGCATTGTTCAAGTTGGGAATTGAGATGAGGATGGGCGATCTCATGTACCATGGCATGACTGATGGGAACCCATTGTAGCCCTGGATTGTTCTGGCAGAGGACTGAGATCCGATCGAGATCACTTTGTTCAACTGCTTCCATCCAGTCCGAGAGTAAGTTTGCGTCATAGGTGGTTGTCATTCTGGCCTTGTCAAAGCAAAAGGCAAAAGCAAAGTTGCTGATGAGAAAGAAAAAAAGAAAGCGGAGCGGGCAAGGATTGCTAGCAAGTTCAAGCAAAAAGGCAGTAGAAGCAAGTTCTCTTGCCACATTTGGAAAATAGCATGGTTGCAAAAAGAGACGAACTTCATAATAGTCTTGAATATATAGAGGAACTGACACAATATTTATTAATGTTGATTTTTTTTAATAATCTTCTTTTGTTTTGTTTTGGGTTTGTTTTCCATTTTTTTCCCTTTTATGCCATAACGTTGTCGTATGTAACGCCGTTTAACCAGCCACCCTGAAGCGTCTTCCTTACGTTGTTCTCAAACACATGTCTATTAGCTCTGAAATCCTCTGCAGCCTCTGTAGAAAGGTGTTAGTAGCCCATATAATACGGTGTTTAGATAATTGGTTCCCTTCTATTTATTATCGCTTTTTTTTTTCTTTATTTACCTTTGTTCAAGGGGTCATCTGCGTTGGGTTCCAGGAACAGGTACTGAAGTCCAACCAATACAGAGTGAAGTGAGAGTACAGGCTTCCAGTCTTCACGAAGAATGTTCAGGCACACATTTCCTTGAAGGTCAAGATTGGGGTGATAGATCTTTATCCACGCAACTTTCGTCAGCTCATTTTGGTTCTATCACTGTTTTTTTTGTTTATTTTAAGAACATGATTATTTTACATACCTTTTGAGTGCAGTGAACCTTTGGTGGTTCATGAGGATAGTTATTGTTAATTGCAAATGTGAAAGAGAAATTTCCGTCCTTGTAAAAGCCTAAATATATGTACATATATATATATATATTTAAAAAATTGGAATCAAAGTCTTTAAGATTTGGTTCATTATAATCTAGGTTTCTTTTACCTTCATCAGGTGTGATTATGACGTTAAAGTTGAGAATGTCTTCTGGATCAGGAAATTCCATTTTTATAGTCTTTGGAATCGCCAATTCAGATAAATCTGTAAGGTTTTTTGTTTTTGTTTTTTGTTTGCTTAGTAGAGAATGAGTCAGGGCCATTTGGGCATCTTACCTTTCTGAACACGGATTTGTGCTGCGCTTATCTTTGGCTTCTTTTTCTCGGCTGCGGCCTCTTTGGCCTTCAAACTCCAGATTTTCATCATTTTGTAAATATAATAGTATTTGATTAAGTGCCTGGTGTAATTTGTAGCTTATACAAAAAAATATGTAAAAGAGCTACGGTGAAAATAAAATAAGGTGAAAGTGAAATGCGGGAATGAGATGTACAATGTGAAAAGAGAAAATTCAAAGTTAGGGGGGAGGGAAAGGACGTCTTGTTCAGAAAATCAGGTCACGCCATGGATGACACAAGTCAACTCACGTTCCTAATCCCCCGAGTGGACCCAAGCCTTCTTATCCTTCCCTTTCCTCCTTCGTTTTTCCCCCTTTTTTTTCTGATTTTTGTTTGAGGTATTAAAAATTAGTTGGATATCGAATGGCCTGTAATCAAAACGACCAGACACAATAGATATATTCAAGTAAATTTGTGCATGTTTATATATAGAAGAATATGCTGTTTTGAAATGCATAGCGCTATTTTATTTTATTTTATTTTATTTTATTTTATTTTACAAAGACCTCCATATTTTATCCTATATATTAAATGTATATATATATTTTTTTTTGTAATTTACACTTTTTTAGACTAATAGTATAATGAGGCTGTATATATATATTTCTTCAATTTTCTTAATAAATAGCTACAGTCTTTTCTTGTTGGAATGACAATAGATCTCTTCTTTTTCAATTATTATTCTTTTATTATCGTTTTGGTTTGTTTGCTATGGAGGCATCTTCCTTGCTTAGACGCAGGCGTGTTACATTTGATAGTCCAGGAACACACCCAAATCCTATTGAAGATACAGAAAATCTAAAAGAGGTATACAAAGAAAAAGAATACATGAATATAAGTAGTCATGTTTGAAGCCGAACTAGTATGAGCCCCCAATTAACCGTAGTAGAAACACCCAAACAGTACATAAAATCCAAAGCTAGTCAGCTTCGACAAGAAACATATCATGGAATAGCTCTGACAACTGTCACAGTCATGGCTTTCTTCATCACATTTTACAAGATTTGGTATCCAGCCCAGGTTGTGTAAGTGATAGTTGTACAAAAGATGCCACAAGGAAAAAGAAAGTGGAATTAATGAAAATGTGTTTATGTACAACTTTACATCTAGGTTTGATGAAGTTCATTTCGGGAAGTTTGCTGGATTTTACTTGAAACGCTCTTATTTCTTTGATGTTCATCCTCCACTGGCAAAGTTAATGATAGCAGGTGCAGGTTACTTGCTTGATTATGATGGCCACTACAATTTTGACAAGATTGGAGAGAGCTACATTGAAAACGATGTACCTTACATTGGACTGCGAGCTTTACCAGCCATGCTCAATGTTTTTAGTGCATCTTTTATGTACTCAATTATGAAACAATCTGGTTATTCGGTTGTAACATGTACGCTTGTGGCTGGCATGTATATCTTGGGTAATTATTTCAGATCACCCAATTCACAGCTTTAACAAACTATCAAACCCCTTGTTTTCATTGACATGCACACACTTGTATAAATAAATAGATAACTCGCTTGTTGCCCAACATCGCTTGATTCTTCTTGACAGTATGCTCATATTCTATATGCTCGGAACAATTTACGCATATATTAGGTTCCACAAACAAAGGCACCGGTAATTTTCGTCAATATATACTTTAATCTCTTTTTCTAATATTTTTTTGTCAAAATAAATAAATAGAGCATTTTCTATGGGATGGTGGTCTTGGCTTATACTATCAGGTGTGATGATGGCAATGACTCTTAGGTAATATATATATATAAGTTTTGCTTACTTGATAAATTAATCTAAATTTACTTCCTAACATATCATTTCTCAAGTGTCAAGATGGTGGGCCTATTTATTGTAGCCACTGTAGGTGTGTCTGTGCTAGTAGATCTGTGGGGGCTTTTGGATCTACAAAGGGGTTTGTCTATGGTATGCACAGCAATAGAAAGAATGGAGACTCCAATTATTTGTATATATAAAAAAAGAAGAAAGTAATCCTTACCATATCTCTATTTGTCTTTCAGGGGCAATTTATGAAACACTTTTTGGCGCGCGCTTTTGCTCTTATAATTATACCAGCTGCAATATACACCTTTTGGTTTTATATTCATTTTGTTATACTGGATCACTCAGGGCCCGGAGATGCGATGATGAGTCCATTATTCCAATCTACGTTGAAGAGTAGCCCTCTTTTAATGAAAACATTAGGTAAAAGAATGGCAGCAACAACAACAATAAAGGAAGAAGAAGAAAAAACAAAGGACAATATAACCAATTTCTTCTATTACTTTGTAGATATACATTATTACGATAGTATTTCAATAATGCACAAGGATACTTCTGCATATCTTCATTCCCACAATCTGACGTATCCATTACGATACCCAGATGGTCGTATCAGTAGTCAAGGTAATAAAACATTACATGCATGGCCTGCAGCAAAGATTATATTAATTTTTATTTATTTATTGACTTAATGACTTATTTGTATATGTGTACCTGTGTACTTAGGTCAGCAAGTTACAGGAATCAAAGCGCCAAATGAAAACAGTTACTGGCGCATCAAACCAACAAAGGAAATTGCTGCAGACACCAAGATACCTGTGCGTCACGGCGATGTTATTCAATTGGAGCACATTGGAACTGGAACTAACCTCTTGACTCACAATGTCGCCTCTACACACATGCCAACCAACCAAGAAGTCAGGACAGTCCCTTTGGGCGAACGCAATGAAGAAACACTTTTTGTAGTATACTTGAGTGAGCACGAAAGTGGAAATGTGTGGCAAACACATCGTAAGCCTTTCAGACTATTACATAAATCTACGGCAGTAGCTATCTGGACACACCAAAAGCCTCTTCCTGATTGGGGACTTGGTCATCAAGAAGTCAATGGAAATAAGAAGAATTCAGAATCAAGCAACTATTGGATAGCTGATGAGATTCTTGGTCTCAATGGTTAGTTACAAAAAAAAGAAGGTTTTTTTCTTTTCTTTATGGATAACAACCTTTACTTATATTAATTCATATCTTAGCTACCGAGATCAACTCTAAGAAGAAGGGAGAGCTTGGGCATCTTCCATTTTGGAGAAAATTTGCAGAACTTCAACTCAAGATGCTATCTCACAACTCCAGATTGACTAAACCCCATCCATACCAGACATATCCTTACCAATGGCCTCTTATGTTGCGTGGAATATCTTATTGGACAAATACTGCAACAAAGGAGCAAATATACATGACTGGAAATGTTGCTGGCTGGTGGCTGTCTATTACGTGTGTTTTCTTCTTTGCTGGGCTGTTGATACTAGACGCATTGGCCAAAAGAAGAAATTATGAGCCCATTCTATCAGGTACATCATTAGCTTCTTTTTATTTCATTGATAGAATTGAGTAACGAGTGAATCTATCTCATTTTAAATAATAATATGTTGTGTTTTATAGCTGTTCACCACCGATTAACCCAATCTGGCGGTTTCTTCTTTCTCACTTTTGCATTACATTATTTCCCATTCTATATAATGGGACGTACTCTATTCCTTCATCATTACCTTCCTGCTGTAACTGCGAGTTATTTATTACTCGGTACTGTGTTTCAGTACATTTTTGTGGACGGAATTGACTTGCCAATCTCAAGTTGTGGCTCGATATCTAAGCACAAAAAGGAGACATTCATTACAGCTCGCCCGTCTTTCAAATCCTACATTGCCGCAATCATAATAATTACCATGCAGCTTTCTGTCTTTATATTTTTGTCTCCAATTACTTATGGAACCCAGGGACTGACTTCTGAAGAAGTTACAAGACATAAAGTATTAAAGAGTTGGGACCTTGCATTCGGTAAGCATACAAGCAAAAAAAAGCATGGCTTTAAGAAAAAAACAATTCAAAATTATTAACATTTCTTTTTTAAAAAAAAATTCAAATTTATGTATGTATATATGTATTTTCAACATCTTTATAGAAAATAAATAAATAAATAAAAAATGTAAAAATGTAAAAAATAATAAAATAATAAAATAAGAACAAGAGAACTTTTGGCTATCAAGACAGTTGTAAAAAATTGAAAGGCTTTCGTAAATTTAGAAAAATGGGTAGGGCAAATGGGCAGTGAATACGTAAATCGATAACATTATAAAGCATACTAGAGCTCTAAATCATAGATAGTACAAAAAAGTCAAAATGATTTAGTTATTTTTGTTTTTGTTTTTAAAAAAAAAACATACACACACACCAAAGTGCAACACTATATGAAATCCAATTATTTAATTTTCACTTGCCGACCTTTTTTTGCTACTTTACTTGTAGCACATAAAAAATAGACCGTTTAGTAAATTTTTTTCTAAAGTACGCTGTTAAGTCCGAAGTGAATTGTTTTTGCTTTTTTGATTATACGACATTAGGAGAAACAAAATATTGAAACACCATCGCATTTTTTTTTGTGTACGAGAACTGCTAGCCTCACAAAAATGCCACGTTCCCAGGTGTTTTCAAATTACTAAAAACATCTTAGACCGTTTGAGTTCCAAAAATGCCCCACAATCTACCAAAAAGACTGGGCATTTGAAATTTAAATTAATATTTTATTTTATTTTCATTTTCATTTTTGCTTTTTTACAAGTTTTCAATTAGTCTTTAATTTTTTTTATTATTATTTGATAGCAATTAATTGATCCTCTTATTCCAAATTATAATTTTATTTAAATATTATACTGCATTACAATTAAAGTATTTGTGATTGATTTTGGATTAGTATCTTAATATTAGAAAAATAGATACTGTGAGAGTGTTATTTATTAAAAAAGTTAAAATAATATTCGAGGTGGTCGGAATTAATCTTGGGTTATTATATTTAGATTAGAAAAAGTAGCTACTGTGAGAATGGTATTTATTAGAGATAGAATAATGGTATTGTTGGCCGAGGCCGAAGGCCGAAGGCCTATACCTATTATTCGAAGAGACAGAGACTCTGGCTGTCCCCTCCCTTCCCTTCCCTTCCTTATTATAATATATACCACTCGCGAATAGATGATAAAGAATAGTATTATAGCAATAGCAAGCTTTTATTTAAAATTTTCGTCTCAATAAAGAATTGATGGTAACACAGCCAGAATCTCTGGCGAATGAAGAATAATATTGTTTATATCAATCGATAAAGAGTTTCTTTTTCTTACTATTCAATTTGGCTCTCTTAATATTTGTACCTCCGCTGTGCCATGTCTGGCCCACAAAATCCACCCACGCACACATAAATCTACCCAGACACACACAAATTTTTTTGGTGATAAATTCATAGACCTATATAAAGAATAAATTAATAAATAATTACATACTTTTTTGAAAGCAGAGCTCCCCGCCTCCCCTCAAGTTTTATTTACCTCTTCCCTATGAGAAGTTTAGTTACTACAAATTACAATTAATGTGTAGGGATGAGTTGAACAGTTTATTGAATGGACAGTAGACTTTAAGTGATGTGGTTGTAAAATTATAAGAAGATTTGCAGAGGATTTAAAAGGAGATAAATCGTGTGCTTATATTCCAAGTTTTTAAAGATATAGATTTCTTTATTTTTATTTTATTTAGACAAAATATATATAGTTAATCGTATCTTTTTAATAAGAAAGTAATGACAAACCGATACCTATGTAAGAAAAACGGGTGGAAAAATTATAACAAGCATGGTTAAGAAAGAGGGGAAGATGTCTTTGGGGTCAACATTAATATCTGGCATTGTCCTGGACGGAGATACACCTTGTAAGTATCTTTGTGCGTGCCTAAATTTTGACCTGTCCAGACATCCTCAATATCTGCTGCAGTGATACCAACGTCAGTCAGGTTGAGCACAAATCCTTGGTTCATCCCGAGAATCAGCATGTAGACGTGCGCATTAAAGAGGCCCACGCATATCTTGCCGTTCTCCATCTTCTTCCACCAGATCTGTTTTCGGTTTGTCCAAACATTACCAGACTGGATTGGACGGGCCATTATTCCGGACTGGTGTATGGCAATAATGCCTGGATGGCACAGCATCCGCAAATACTTTTCGGGGATCTTGCGAGGATCTGCCCCGATACAGAATACTGAACTCAAGAGGGCCCAGAATGAGATGTAAGACAGGCGAATATCATCGTTATCCAATCCATCGATGCAATTCCCATCAACAGTCATTCCTACAACAACAACATCTAGGTCAAGGAAAAAGCCGTATTTTTTTCCAACCACGACCTTGTCAGCCCATCGAGAGGCTTGTGTGATACGCTGAAAGACACGAAATGAACTTGTCATCGTCTTTGTGGAATAGGATTCAATGTCAATGAAAATGCGGGCTCCGTTTGCAATGTACGCCCATTCGTCTGCATATGAATGGTCAAGGTACCACGAAAGTTCCATCCAGATGTTGCGTTGTTTGAATGAGGTCGCGAGCATATAAAGGCAGGCGCGGTTATCTGGAGATTGATAGGGGTACATCTGATCACCACCTCCTGGTCCACAGCCATCGACTTTTACATATGAAACACCCCATTCGGCAAAGAGATCTGCAATCGAGTCATAATAAGCTTGGACAACCTCATTGTGTACGTCTGGCATGTACGTAGTATCTTTGAACCCGTTTCCTTGACGTTTCATAGTCACCAAATCACCTAGGCGGTGGCTTGTTCCTTTGACAAGCAGATTAGCATCTGCAGCATCTTTACGGATTCCCGGTAGCATGTACAGTCCTAGTTTGTGTCCATTTGTTGCTAAATGGCTTGAAAGAGCTTTGAGTCCATTAGGAAAGAGTTCTGATCGAAACATCCATCGGCCATTCTCATCGCATTCTTGACTCCATCCAGAGTCTAAGTTGATATATTCATAATCAGGCATCTTTTGTCGCATTACATTAGAAATTTCTTTAATGTTGGTTTCATTAAACCTAAAACAAAAAAATTAGTTTAAAGCATATACACATATATATATATATATATATACTTGGATGATCTGTACAACATTCTTTATATATGCAGATATATATATATATATATATATATATTACCATGGACTTTCTGTTCTTCCACCATATCCTGGTACATCGTCCAATATTTGTGTAGACCAAGTAGAGAATCCTAACATGGGTTTACATGCCCAGTCAGGCTTACATCTAATGTCGTAATTAGGTGTGAGTTTTTAAACATTCCTGATTTTCACTGTCTATTCCTTACCCAGGTTCAATGTTTATGTCTTTGCGGTCAGGTCCTGCTAAAGCTCCCATATTTCTGATAATGACACATTAGTTTGGCGTGTTCAAATACTCTGCTTTTCTTTTCTCTATTGATCTCCAATTAAGTTCCTCACGTTTAATGCGTTATTTGTATGTGTATTTATTTATTTGTTTTTTAAGAAAGAATGCGTTGGAAAAGTAAAGCGGAATAATCAGTTATATGATATGCGATGACGTGAAGACGAGTAAAGAAGAAGAAGAATAAAAGAAAGAAAGATTTTAAAAGAAAAAGTCTAACCTTGCTTATATGTTACACGACTATAAGCTTTGGTCTCCTATCTTTTGTGTGTGTATGTGTGTATATATAGCTATCCACCAAACTGTGAGAAAATAAGAGTGATAATTAAGAATAATAGTACCAAGTAAAGGGTTACATAAAAGCCGAGTTTTGATACAAGTACACAAAATGCTAAACAATTGAATTTCATTACACATCCACTAGGAATGGTCGATAAAGATTCCTGTCGTTAAAAGATATTTTAAATAGAAATTACGGAAATTTGATAGATTTGATTACAGTTGAGAGTATATATATATATAGGTACATTATGAAACCAAGCGTTTGTCATCCGAGCAAAAGTGTGTACAATATGTACACCTTTAACTATAGCTGTATTCCGAAATGAGGTCTAGATCAAATCAGATCAAGTATGATATATATATATATAAAGGGTTTTATTTCAAGATTTGATTAGTTACTAAATAAAAAGGTCTCGTTAACTTCTTCATGGGTACCTCTTTAAATCCTGTTTATGATGGTCTTAAATAGTATATATAAAAGAACTTTCTGTTGCTTAGAATAACTTGTAAGCAGTTTGTTTTGAAAAATAAAAGAAACTTATTTTTTTATTATGTTCCGGATAGTGATACATTAAAACAACAGGACCCAAAGTCTCACCTTCTTTGGCTTGGCAGATCATAGGACTAATGACCTCGATTACTTTGTTTCCCAATCTACCCAATGCATTATTTTCTTATTTTTCTTTCTGTTATCCCTCATCGTAAATCATGTATTAAAAGCGTTAGATAACGACTCCCTTAAAGAGGTATATCTGGTTCATAGGAGTCTACTTGGAAATAAATTATGCAGCATGGCAAAAATAATGCACATGGATATTTATATTACAGTATACAATACATAGTAGTCATTATACTAATACTGATATCAATACTAATATTAAGACTTTCCTTAATTAGAACCTCTATGTTGTGTCAAACTCTATTATCCTACAGGTTAGACAGAAAAGCCTTTTTGTTTCTTTAATTTTCCTTTTAATATGGTCATTTATATATATATATATATATATGTGAGCAAGTTTTGGTACTATTTTAGTCGTATTTTTTATTCCAGGATCAAATCCTGAGATTCTTGTTTTTGAAACAGACAGCCCTTTTTAGCATCTTGTTTTTTTCTTTCTTTTCTAACATCATCCCTTTAATACAATTTGTCATTTAACGAAACCTCACATCATTGCCAAGCTGGAATTCAATACAAGAGAACATGACAATTGTATTCATAAGTCTGACAGGCTTTGTTCAATTTTGATTTTGATTTTGATTTTGTTATTGCTTGTACAAATACATATCTGGTCAGATCGACAAGGGCCACTGATGCCTTGTTTCGATTTGATGGTATTGTATTTGTTGAGTTGAATGTTTTCGAGACATTCAAAGTCTAAATCAGTCAGAAAACGATCAGAATTGGCTCCTCCTCTCTCCCCTGCATATAGATAGTAAACTTCTGAATTAAAAAATTTGTCTTTATGGATTATTTTCTTTAATACATATATATATATATGTATATATATATTATAGTTGCTCATCTCTATCGTGGCTTTTGATCTAGACTATTACTAACAAGGCGCATAAGAACAAATTCAAATTAACCAAAACAAAACAGAAAAAAATCAAGTAAGATATATAGGAGTAAGTTAATAAAGTAAAAAAAAAAAAGAATAATAAAAACAGAAAGACATCATAATATGTGAGCTACAACAAGGATGAGCAAACAGCTATTATATATATAATATAGTATGTTATCATCTCAGAAGTTTGATATATAAATATTCTTACCCAGAGAGGAGGAGGAGTCAATTCTAATCTTTTTCTGATTGATTTAAGCTTTGAATGTCTCGAAAGCCTCATTGGTCCTTTTGAAGTTTATCGTATCATACTTGGAGATAAATTTGGAGCATAATTTGCAAAAATCATATTAAAACCTGCCTGGACAATAGTACATTGTCTTTTGATACTTTCAGAAGCACAGATAAGCCTTATTACTGTGATGGTAGTAGCAGAAAATAAAGAAACGCAGGAATATTAACCCATGAATGAATTTTGGAATTAGACATTATAACAAAAAAGAAAGGATGATATGGTCTGTGCGTTTATTTTGTACACCGAGTTGAGGTGATTGGTGTGTTTCAAATATCCGGGTTAATTTTGTTTTTGGGATGCTAGATTGATTGGGTTCAAAGAGTATTGAGAGAAGTAGGGTGGCATTGGTGCTCTGTCGTAGTATTACCTATCTTGTCTTGTAGTGGTTACTTTAATATACAATAAACCAAATTCTATTGATGGCCATTCATTATAATTTCAGAATTGTTGGGGGTAATTTTATTTGCTATTTTTCTACAAAAGTCTACTATTAGTCAAATTCATATTCTATTGTCTTTATTGTTAGTAATGAATTCGTTGTGTCCGAATGAGTCAATTAATCGACAATTGTACTTATCAGTTTTTATATGTATGTATTTTAAAGAAAAATGCAAAAATGGTGAATGGCTTATCTCCAACTCAACTGCGTTTCAATAAAATAACCGGGGGTTCATTTTCTTTTCTTTTCTTTTGCCAAGCACCAATTGGCTTAGATGCTAAATGGGGCAATTGGGTAGAAGAATATTGATATCTACTAGACTCTCATTAACAAAGACTTTGGTGTGTGTTTGATGGCTTGAGTTTATTGAGCTATAGTTGGAAAGGGCTGGGTAGTGGAATGATTTCTAATTCTTGTTTATCGGTTAAACCTGTAAAGATTTATAGAATTTTTATTTATTATTTTTTTATTGGTGAATCTTGCTGTGTATATTTGGTCTGAAATATACACGAGTAAAATCCATTTCATAATCGTGCACAAGAGATTTATTTTTGGATAAAATAAATAACTATTTATTTATTTATACTATTCTTAATTCTAATAAGAATTCGTTGTACAAATAATATATCTAATTATATAATACCAAAGGCTGAAAAGGGAGTTTTGGTGTAAAGGAATCGTACTATGCATTCGTTACTTGGTTGGTTAACTGGCTGGTTAACTGGCTGGCTGGAACGACGCAGTCTGAATCACACATACACACACATGCACACGCACACGCACCAACATACTAACACGCAATTTTTACAATTGACTGGGAATCCGGTACTGACGAGCAAGGGAATTATCATTTGATTTGACAAAGCTGGTGATTAACGGTGTCTCAAACGATTTGAGTGGTTTCTTTTCTTTTTTTTTTAATCAGCCTGGCCATTGATTTATCAGGCTCAGCCTAGTCCAATCTACCTTCCCCACTTTCGCACCACTCTCTCTCTCTCACTCTCACTCTCACTCTCTCTCTCACTCACTCACATATTCACACACACACATACAGTGCACAGCATATATATATATACACACACACACATATATATATATACACATACACCATACACACACACACACACACATACTATACACCTCTAGTATATCAAAGTAAGTTAACCCTTCAGCTACCGCCAATATTTAAGAAATTATTACCCCCCCTTCCCTTTCCTAGCATAAGACAGAGAGTATAAGAGAGAACAAAGTAAAATATAATAAAATAAATACAAAAAAAAAGTAGATCCTCTTAATCAAACATACCTCATCATCACCTCTTTACCATCTTACATCAAGACGCGTCTCATCTCGCTCTGTCTTCTATCTTCTTAATATATTCATCTAATTAAAATCATAATATCTAAACATATCTTATTAATATTATTAATATTGTTATTTCTTTTTTTAAAAACAAAACAAAAGAAAAGAAAAGAAAAGAAATGCCCAAAGAATCTTCCAAAACCAAGCGTACTTCCAAGGTTGTTGACGACGGAAAGAAGCGCCGTACCAAGAAGGATCCCTCTGCTCCCAAACGCGGTTTATCTGCTTACATGTTCTTTTCCCAAGACCAAAGACATGTTGTCAAGGAAAATAATCCTGATGCTAGCTTTGGTAAAGAAAAGAAAAGAAAAGAAAAAAGTATTTACACAATAATGTATGTATCTATGTATGTGTTTCTACAAAAGGTCAAATTGGAAAGATTCTTGGTGAAAGATGGAAGAAGATGACTGACGCTGATAAGAAGGTAAGCAGGAAAAATCATTAAATAGCTCTCATTTTATTTTTGGTATAATTTATATACTTATGTATCAAAGGTATGCTTTTATTAATTTGAATTTTTTTTTTTTGATTTTTTAGCCTTACAATCAAAAGGCTGAACTTGACAAGAAGCGTTATGAAGACGAAAAGGCTATCGCTGTAAGAAAATACATACATATATAAAGTCAATTTAAAATTAACTTTTGTATATAGGCTGAGAAGCACAGTGATGACGAGTAGCTTAAAAAAACAAGCCATGATGATAATCTAGTATACTGAATGAATGAAATTGAATGAAATTGAATGAGATGAATGGTCAGGATATATACACTTTTACGCTGGAGAAGAGTCTAATTAACATGGCCTGATATATATATATAATAAATATATAAATAAATAAAAAGATAATAATAATTTATTTCTTGAGTTCTGCTTAACAAGATATCATCACATCAAATAAGCTATCGGGTTGCTGAAAGTCATTATGGACCACATTAACAAGCCAGTAATGATCCCCAATATACTGGAGTAGTTTGGCAGTGTCACTTTCACGAGGATATTGCTGTTCCCATTCAGTCCAGAGCAGATAGGCCTCTTCCTATTTAAGATGTATTATATACACATATAAGAAACCATGATATTTATCGTTTGCTTGTTTTTTTTGTAATATATATATATATGTGTGTGTGCACTTTTTCTTACCTTCCAAGCTTCAAAATTTGCTCTCTCAATTAATGTTGGCTGTACAATTTCCTTGCCAGGGAATACACCCCATGTAACAGCATTCTGGGCGTCTGGATCGGCCACATTGGACAATAATTCACCCTGTGTACAGATAAATTTCACAGGCATTAATATGTGTGTATATATATACATATCTAATCCTCCATTATTTCATATCTTGTTTTCTTACAGCACGGTTTATCGCATAATACGTGATCTCATCATTTTCACCCAGGCATTTCAACAGGTCTTTGACTTGTTTGTCAGATACAAAGAATTCAATAAAAGCCTTTATGGATTAATAAATAGATACATACATACATTTGAGATTAGTTAGATAAATAATCATAAGCACAACACAATAGCTATAGTAATACAAATGCATTTTACCTTTTGATAAACATAACCGCCTTTTGGACCCCAACCATGTACGGGATCTTGACTCGACACACCATTCACAGCAGGCTGAGAGCTGACCGTCCAATAGCCACGCTTGTTAATATCGACCAACCGTTGGCTAATCACATCTGACTCTGTCTGTAGTGCATCCTCACACCACGGTAAGCTACTCAGCTTCCCAAGGATATATTTTGTAAACAGATTGGTGACATCCTCTTCAGTCTTTGGATATCCCCACTTTCGAGTTGCCTCTGATGTCTATTTATTTTATTATCAAATCAAAAACGATAAAGTTTTTTTTTTTAAAAAAAACAAGCTTTTATTTTTCTCATAATCTAATTAACTAATTAATCTTACCTGTTGTACATGTCCTTGTCCAAAGGTATTTTCACCAAAAGCTTAAGATCCAAAGCCAATATATAAATAAATAAATAAATAATAATACAAGCCCACACAATACATATATATATACACAAAATGCACACATAGTGTGATTAGATAACCATACTCTTTTTATTATTTTATTATTAATATTATCTTTTATAGTCTAAATTGTTTTATCTGATAATATTTATATGTATATTTGTCTATTTTGTCTCTTTCTCTATTTCTATACAGGGCATCGTGGATTACCTGGAGATCTCGAATCACCATAACGACCGTTAGGAAACTCGTCCCAGCTCTCAGCAAGATTGACTTCAACAAGCTTGGATCCCCATGAGGTTGCCTTTATATCAGGCAAACCAAGAAGCTGCATCAAGAGTAAAATAAAATAAAGAAAGATTAGAAAATATAACCACCCACAAACACATGTTTTCTTTTTCTTTTTTTCTTTCTTTCTTCAAATATCTTTACATTCTCTCCAGACAATGCTTTCTCTTTAGGCACCAGATTCAGTTGTTGGAGAATAAGTCTTGTTGAGCGTTCCAGGTTGAGTGTGGAGATATGGAAGGTGGATATTTTGTGCTTTGTATGCAGTTCTGAAATCATGCTCACTGCCAATCTGACACCGAATTCCTTGACCTTTTCATCGTCACTCTAATCAAAGCAAACAACATATAAATCTCGAGGGATTTCGTGCAAGACATCATCCTCTGGTACCATATCAACTCATTAAATCCTTTACTTACTTTGATGGATTCTAATTCGGCCAGCATTGAAGGAGGCACATGAAGTTTACAAAGATTGATCATGCGACGGAAGGTCTGGTAGGTAGGAATGGGCATAATTCCAGGGATAATGGGTACCTGAATACCTAAATTATATCAAACTCGTTTGTTACCTATTTCATAATCCACCTTCACACATACATACGTATATATATAAGTATGCTTGTAATTACCTAATCTTCTACACTCCTTTATCCATTGAGCAAAACCATCGACATCATAGAACAATTGTGTAAGGACAAAGTCCGCACCGGCATCAACCTTTTCCTTGAGATACTGCAAGTCCTGCGATTTGCTAACAGCATCTACATGTCCCTCGGGATAACCAGCGACACCAATACAGAAATAGTCACCGTATCTTTCACGAATATACTTCACAAGATCAATTGCATGACTGAATCCATTTTCACAAGGGGTCCAATATTCATGCCCACGGGGAGGATCGCCTCGGAGAGCCAAAATGTTCTGGATTCCAGCCGCTTTAGCCGCCTATTGTTATTTTATATAAAGTAAAATATAGTAAAATATTAATAACCTCTGCATATACACTTTAGCTTATTTAGCTGTCATTACCTCCAAGGCCTTATCAATTTTCTCTTTCTCCATATTGGTACAGGTCAAGTGCATCAATGTGTCCAAGCCATGAATGCTTTGGACGGTAGAACAGAGTTCAATGGAGCGATCCTGAGTAGATCCTCCGGCTCCCCATGTACAAGAGACAAATGCAGGATTAAGTTTTGCCATTCGGTCCAGACGATCAAACAGATTGACTAGACCCTAAGTATTGAATTCTCATGAGTGATTGTCTAATTCTTCCTTTATTTCTTTATTGTCTTTTGCCCTGTCTTTCTTTGTGTGTGTTACAATAACCAAATAAAATAAAATATAATACAATAAAAAAGGGACAGATATTTATTTCCAAAGAGAGAACAACAAGTCTTACCTGCTCAGTCTTGGGAGGAAAGTACTCTAGTGAGTATGATATCTTGCCAGTTCCTTCTGCTTTTCTTAGTTTATCTGTAATCTTCATGGTTCCTCTGTGCCTGTATGTAGTATGGGTGTATAGTATATGTTTTTTCTTTTTTGTTTTTGTTTTTTTTTTCTGGTTTGGGTACAAGCAAGTAGAAACTCGAAATTAATTTCTGACTCGAAAAAAAGAGATGTGACATCTGCAGTTATCCAATAGGAGATTAGGATTTCCTTCTTCACTCTCCCCCTCCCCTTTTTTTTGTTATCTATATAAATGTATATAATTTTTTAATACACTTTTTTCTATCTTTTACTTGAGATTGAGATAAATTAGGAAATATTTTAGACGAATTAAGTTTGTTCTTTAATTATTTCCATTTATAGATAATATCACATCGCAAATTGAGACAACAAAGATGACCAATAAAACCAAAAGCCAAAATATATATATGTATATCACATTAACCCACATAACCTTCAAATCAAACAAATAACGTATTTTTCTATTTTGCCCTAAGCATCCAAAGTTTTTCTTTTTTTTAAAAAATAAATAAATTCAAACCTATCAATAGCTCCATACAAACAGAAAGTTCCGGTATTTTTTTTTTTATTAGTGTCTTTAAACATGAGCAAATACCATTGGCTAATATGTCTTTCTTATCATCCTTGTCATACACTTTCATCTATGCCTTTTTAACAGCATCAAATACACCTCTTTTTCTTCTTCTTCTTCTTATTATTATTACTTTAAAGAAATTATTACACACTTTAACCGAACAATGTTTCGAAAAAAGAATTAACGGAATATTAAAGGTACGGAGTCAAAGGGAAGAAATAGAAACAGAACAAGTTAAAAGACATGGATGGTATCATATTAAATATTCGTGTGTAACTTAACTTGATAAATTCTATTTATTAAACAAAGTCAAATGCACGGACTGCGACAAACCTGGGCATCATACAAAAAGAAGTAGTCAATATATATATATATTTGTATCGACATTGACACATGGTAAGCGCGCGCGCACACACACACATATATATATGACATAGAGAATAGAATAGTAATATCTAATACTCATGTACATAATATAGCTAATACAAAGCATAAAAGACCCACTGGATACTAAAGGACCGAGTCGAAAAAGGCAGAAACGCAATGCAAAAAACCATATTCATGAAATCAAATAAGTAGAACTAAGACCTGTATTCTCCAGATCAAAAGAGTATACAAATCACACTCAAACTTAAGCAGTAGGAAATACAATTAGTACTAAGAAAACATATTATCATAACAAGAAAAATCAAACTGGGCACAAGCATAAGACCGGCATAAAAAGACTCTCATCACGGAGAAAGTGCAGGCTTTATAGAATAATATTCGAAACATTATGATTCAGGCACAGTTGTTTGTGAACTACTATGTGATCACTCATTCTGACCAGACTGTGAACAAGAAAGTTTTCACGCTAAACTTTTCGTATTGTGCAACTCAGTTAGTGTTAGAGAAACCACTCAAGGAGCACTAAGACAATGCTAAGCGACTGTTCGACCTTTTGGGAAAAGTTTCTCTTCGAGATAAAACGTAAATCATGAGATAGCACCTGTCAGTAGTTGTTCTCGATGCTTAACTGCTGCTTGTGTTTAAATGGTTACGGTATAAGTAAATGCCATCGGGGAGAGCTTTGAACCTAGAGTAGAGCTGTCTATTGGTTGTAATACCATAAAATTATTCACAAATGTAAGTATATACAAAATAAGTAACGAATTGTTACTGATTTTAGCTAAACAAGGCTCTTATAGAACAGATTGTTGGCTGATATTACTATTGATATGTTTGTGGAGGTACACCAATCTGGCCCAACACACTTCCCGAAACTTATAATGACACGAAACTTACAATTGACACAATAGGGGATTTCAACCGCCATTCAAGCTTTTAAACTTAAGCTTTTGAGTTTAAATTTGACAGATGATTGGCTGGAAAGGATCTATAACCACTAAAAAAAAACTCTTGTTTTGTTCGAGAGTTTTGATCCTTTAATACATCCCTTGCTTAAATTTGATTTTTTTTTGGGAAATTTAATAAATCCTTGATGCAAATATTTTTGCCTATTTCAATACTACTTTAAACTTATATCCTATTATCACAGTGCCTAATATAGCTGAACGAAACATCTAGGGTACTCAAAAACACTTAGTAACTCTTACGTATTATTGGTTACTACTTAAAAACTCAAAGCCTAAGATTAAAAGTCGAAAGGACTGTTGAAGCCCCCTAATATGCAGTGAGTTTTCACCGATTGACATGCCTAAACCAGTTACTTTGGTAGCCCCTTCTACCTTTCCTGAAGCAAATATACCTGTACCGGCCTATATCATGAAATAACTGAATGCTATCATTGAGATCAACAACAGAAAGAGCAAAGAAAAACCTAGTTTCTTTTCGTTGTGCCCTGTACCTTCATTGAAATAGAGGTTTATAGCAATTGACTCAAACACTCTTTCAGCCTTTGCTGGTATAACATTGCCTTTTATCTATGTTGCCAAGCTTGAGATGTTTCTTAACGTGCTTGGCTGAAGTAGACTTAGATTGGATGGGTAAGTATGAATGTATATGCAGTTATATTTAATTTAGTAGATAATCATGTTGTAAATCATATAACATCTTGCAAGATTCGGAAGATCCAAGAAAAAACAAGAAAAAATCAGCGTTCTTTAATTTAATTAGATACGACGGTTTTACTGCTGTTGTACGTTTTAAAAGTATAACTAAAAGTACTGAATATTACGGCTATTATTCAGACAGATATATCGAAATTTCTCTTTGGGGTCTTGATTTGGGCAGAAATCGAGTGTTTGATGAATCTTATCGGGGCAGAAAAATCCCTCGTCAATTCAGAAGATGCTCTACCAAAGAATACTATATGTACACTGGGTCCCAAAAGGCATAAAGAGAGAGAAAGAGAAAGAATGCTCGCTGAATGAATGAGCATAGTTCTGCTGGACGTGCCGACGGTAAAAACAGCGAATATCTATACTTGTTTTCTATATATCGGTTATTCTTGAAAACATCTTCAGAGGATACTAGAGTTCAATAGTTCTTCAACAACAAAGAAATACTTTCATCTGAATCAAAGTCATGCAAAAGGCCAAAAAAAAGAGACGGTAGACATTTTTGTTAACGGTAGTCGGAAGTAAAACAAGTCAAAGCGAAAGAACACAAGGAAGGGTCGGAAGAAAGGAAAGAAAGAGGAAATACGAAAGGAACTTGCAGATCATAGCAGTAAATAAGAAGCACAAATACATTCAAAGGAAGACCAGAAAACTAAGGTGGTTACCATATTAATTTTAGGGTTTTCTTAAAAGAGCCACCAGATGCTGGAAGCCAGAGCAATTCAAGCAACACAAAGTCAAATTACCCATCATATATTTTGGTAATGGGATGTTTGAAAACATTCATTCAATTCAAAGACTTCAAAAATGGGGTCACTTGAATACTTTGGCGTCAATCTAAATCCAAACAAAAATCAGCGTTTTCTCAAAATCAGTAAACTCTATAGTTAACTAATAGTTTATATTCTTTGGCTTATATCTTTGTTCGTGCAAATAATCAAGCCTTTCGATATTTCATATTAATATATTAGTATATATAGTGAATTCCAATATCTTATTTTGATCCGATTCCAAAATGCGTTATTTTATTACTGAAAAAGACTGATACTATTATATTCGATAATTATATATTTCTCTGAACTTATCTAAATAGTAACTCGACCGAAATATATCTATAGCTTGTATCATTTATTTCCTATTCAATTTTTCAAATATACTCTTATTTAAAACTATTCTAACAGCAACTTAAACAAATAGATATCTTTGGCTTGTACCATATACTTCTCAAGCAGTTTATTAAATAGTTCTGTGCAAGAATATATATATTTCGGCTGCAAAAGATTTTGATTAAAATTAAATCCGATCCGAGCTATAAGCAACAAGATGGGGTTTAATACACTTTTATAACAGTTTGATCCACCGGATATTTATGGATCATTTAACACTCTACTTCCTTTAACTCGCTTTCTCTCTCATTTTCTTTTTATTTATAAGTCTAATCCAAGTTGATATATATCTATATATTATCGAGTTATTTTAAAATGAATTGTGTTCATATACTAAAAGTTACTCTAGGACTATATATATATAATCGGTTAGTATATTTCAGATGAGCTCTTACACCTACCTTTTTTCCCTCTTTAATACACACGCACACACTCGGGGATCTGTCTACCAGTCAATTGGCTGCACTGGTACAATATATACGATATAGTCTATTTCTTTTTATGTCTTTTTACAAACTAAGGATTCCAATCGATAATTCGGACAGCACGCACTTTTTTGTATACTGGTATTACTGTTCGGTGGTGCAGACAGCCTTTGTGTACCCGCAAGTAAAAGAACGATATCAGGGTTCATTGACAGGGATACTGTTACCCATACGAAGGTTTGAAGACCGTATAGTGCTCACTTACAATCGTTGAGAGAGGACTGTGTATTCAAAACCCTGCACTGTGCTGTGACCAAAACAAAGAAAAAATCCTTTCTAACGATGCCTTGAATCTTCTTTTTACATACCTCATCCCTTTCGGGAATCCTTAGTCAAACCTCCATGCCTACATTGACTTTACAAATCTACTGGAATTCACACCAACTTTACAACACTATCAAAACTGACACAAGCAACCATAACATTTTTCTTTTTTTTTTGACACGTACCAACATTAACTTTAAAACGCTATCAAAATTGACACCAACACAATACTATCAAGCTCGGCACCGCCAACCACTATATTCAATTCTTTGTTTGGGCATACCAACACCAACACAAAGATATCAAAATTTGCACAGAGAATGAAACCATTCATAACATTTTTTTGGTAATATGTATTGGAGGTAATGTATTTAAGGGCGAAAAAGCTAGAGAATAGCCAAAGCTGATTTGGCTTCGAATATTGTAATGTCTAACGTAGATGGAGTTGATATACGATTAAGAACAAACTCAACATCAAGGATAAGTTGGAAGTGACTGCTCGATATGGATATCTAGTTTGTGGCATTGGCTACGCTGATTGAGCATGCGTA